TGTTTTATCATCACTCAGTTTTCCACTATCCTACAGGTTGACAAACTTTTTCTATAAAGAGCTGGATAGTAAAATATTTTCTGATTTTCAGGTTGTACAGTCTCTGTTGCTAGTACTCAACTCTGCCATTGTAGTGTGAAAGCAGTCATAGACAGTAAGTAAATGAGTGAGCATGGCTGTGTTCCAATAAAACTTAATTTACTAAAACAGTTGACAGGCTGAATTTTGCCCTCAGGCCAACACTTGCTTTATCCCATCACCTTATTTAAGCCTTTGTACAGCACCTGCCACTATGTCATATTTCTCTAACTTATTTATTTCTCTATTGTCCATTTCTCCCACTACAATGTCAGCTCTCTGATGGCAGGGACTGTATTTTGTTCACTTCTGTGTCTGTAATGCCTAGAACACTGCTGGCATACGCCAGATGCTCAACAAATATTGGATGAATGAATAGACACCATTTCATAGAGAAAGACCTGATTGCTTTGAGAGAGTAGAACACATGCTGCATTTCCTCCAGAAAATTCCCAGCCACTGACTAATTTTCACCCCCTATTGTGGGCTAGAGAATGAGGGTGGAGAGGAAAGGATCTAAAAATGAGTTGATTTTAATACTGAGTAAATAATAATAATAACGGGAAGTTGGCACACGAATAATTACAGTTTCAGAAACATTACATCATGCTACAGAATTCATTTAACGTCTGTGAATAACTTATACTTGCATGAAAAGGGGAGGGAGAAGAAAGAGAAGGAGAGAAGAGAGGGTGGAAAGGAAGAAAGGACAGAAATAAAGAGGCAGAGAGACAGTGAGAGAGAGACAAAGAGACAGGAAGTGAAGGTTATAGACACGGAGCGGTAGAGGGTCAGAGCTCCAAAGGGCTGAAGATGAGAGACAAGAAGTTGGGGTCACAGAGACAGGGATAGAGTTATAGGGAGCAAGAGAGACAAAGGGATAAAGATTCAGTGATTCAAATGGAGAAAGGGTACGGGGAGAAGAAAGAGACAGTTTAAGAGAGAGAGAGAACAAATTAAATGGAATGGGCTATCCTGCATACCTTTCCAGTGAATTGGATCCCCAGAGTGAACCAAAGATGGAAGATGGGAATGTGTGGTTTCCTCATCCCATCTGAGTTCCACCTGCCACACTGAGGGCAAGCTTCTTGCCTCATGACTCTGACTTTGATATTTAAGGATTCACAGATATTTTCACAGCACAATGATTTATATGTTTTGCATAGATACTTCTTATAATGTAGAGTGCGTCATAACATATATTACATAGTACAAAACACTGCACCCAAAACCACGTGCAGCCTATTGCAAGGGCAATTTAAGGGATTTCCGAGGACAATTTTGACTCTACACTAGGTTTGCCTTATGTCCCTCACAAAAGACTCTAGTGTGCCACTTCCCCAAACTATGGAAACCATATAAAATTATTTCTCTTCTATGGTCGCAGGTCAGAGGGATTTTGCACTGATAGCCTATCGAACTCTTGGGGATATTGTCAATGGATCCTTTTTTAGTGGCAGAAAAGGACTGCAGGATGTGAAACTGAACTCTCTTGTTGTGAGTGCCACCAATGATTCGGAGAAAAAAATTCACCTGTCCAAACCTGTCTTCCTGACCTTGAAACATACTCAGGTGAGCAAATCCAAGGGCTGGTTCTATCCCCAAAATAAAGAACCAGTCAACTCTGAGTCACGGCGATCCCATGTATATCAGAGTAGAACTGTATTCCATAGGGTTGTCAATGGCTGATTTTTAGGAAGTAGATCATCAGATCTTTCTTCCACAGTGCCTCTGGGTGGACTTGACCCTCCAGTCTTTTAGTTAGCAGCTGAGCACATTAACTGTTTGCTTGCACCACCCAGGGACTCTAACCAGGGTGCCTTAAAGGGATGAGGATGTATTATCAGGGTTCTGGTAGAGAACTGAATCCAACTCTGATGGTTCAGAGTTAAGAGAACTGACAAGGAACTTTGAGGCACTCAGAGACTGCCACAGTGGGGAGTGATGATCACACATAATCCTAAAAAGGCAATGGAGGAACTAAGATTATTGAGCTCAGCGAGAGCTGGAGGGATGGAAGAGGGATTGTCCAACTGGAGATGGAAATGTTGTTAGTTGCTGTTGAGTCAGCTCCTACTCATGGAGATCTTATGGGTAACAGAAGAAAACATCGCCCAGTCCTGCACCATCTTCATGATCATTAGTATGTTTGAGCATTTGTATGTTTGAGTCCATTGTTGTTGCCACCATGTTAATCCATCTCACTGAGGGTTTCCCTCACCTTTGAGGGAAACTACTTTACCAAACATGATGTCCTTTTTTAGTGATTGATCTTCCCTGATGATGTGTCCAAAGTAAGTAAATCAAAGTCTAGGACAATATTTTGTGATGCACAGGGTTTTCATTGGCTAAGGGGAACCCTCAATGAAGTGGATTGGCACAATACCCACAAAAATGGGCCCAAACTTTGCAAAGGTCATGAAGATGGCACAGGACTGAACAATGTGTTTTGTTCTGTTATACATGGGATTGTCTCAATGGCAACTAACAATTTTCAGAAGTAGATTGCCAGACCTTTATTCCTAATCTTTATTAGTCTGGAAGCGCCACTGAAACCTGTCCAGCATGGGTGATCCTGCTGGTATTTTAAATACCAGTGGCATAGCTTCCAGCATCATAGCAATACACAAGCCACCACTCTATGACAGACAGGGAAATGGAAATAGCCAGGAAGAAATACCTGACTTCTCTCTTGTCTTTCCCAGAGATCTCCTATCAGGATCTCTCATTGGTAAAACCCACTAAAAGCCATCCAGCCAACAAGGAGCCTGGGTGAAGCAGTTCATAAGGGTCAATATCCAGGGGCACTGAGATGAGCAAAGAAGGGCAGAATTGATGAAGAGTAAACCCCATAGCACAGGTGGTGGTGTGAAAATCTTCCCCACAAGTACTCAAGATAGTGGGATTTTCCTAATTCAGGCTCCAACTCAGTTCATCTGTGATTAACCTATAAAGTTCAAATAATAAAACCAGAAAGAGGATCACTTCTATGCTATTCTTTTTCCAGCCTGTTGGTGCGAGAACAAAACGTTTGTGTGCATCCTGGAAAAGATGGAAGGAGGGGGGCAGCTGGTCGACGGAGGGCTGCTCTTCTACGGGCAGCAGTGATTCTCACACCACATGCCGGTGCTTCCATCTGCCAAGCTTTGCTGTCCTCATGGCTCTTACACCCAAGGTACCAGAATTCATCGTTCGCTCCTTGAACCTGACTGTGTCCAGTGAGCTACGAAGTCATCCTCATATCTTAGAAAAAGACTCTAAGATAAGGACTCCAGTACAAGTAGCTTTCTTGGAAGGTGATTCCAGAAAACACCAGTAGGGGGCTGAGCAAGTGAAGCAGGAAAAGGATAGAGACCAACACAGACAGCATTATCAAGCCAGTCACCACTGTAGGCTACTAGAGCTGACTTCCCTCTGGAAAGCTCTGGGAGTCAGTGTAGACCACACACCTCAGAGTTATCTCACCTGAGGAGTGAGGAAGCTGGGGTATTGATACACTGCCTCTTTTCAATCATTTGTTGAGAACTACATCTAAGGAGCACTGATTATCTGCCATTTTCATGGACATGGGCAGAATGAGCTCAAGCTAACAGAGAAAGCAGCTCCAGTATTCGGAAGTCCAGTTGGCAAGCCATGCAATGGTCAGGTTCAATGCGTTCTGAAATGGAAAGTGTCTACTATTCTGCAAGAGAGAATCACAGCTAAACCTCTCTGGTCAGACCAAAAAGAAAGGTAAATGGCTGTCACCAATGACAAAGCATAGCCCCTGAATCTCCCAAGTCCCAATCAGGTTGAGGACAACTCAGGTTTCAAGAAATTTACTTAACTTCTTCCTCTATTTCTTTTTAGCTCCCATTTACTGGGTATTTACTATATGGCAGCCATCATATTGAATGCTTTATATGAATGGCCTCATTTTATTCATTCAAAAATATTTATGGAGTCTCTACTATCTGCCAGCCACTGTTGTAGGCATTGGGAATACAGCAGGGAATAAGACAGATAAAAAATACAAGCCTACTTGGAGATTACATTTGAGTGCCCTTCAGTTCAATAGGACCACGAGCCACAGTGGATACTGAGCATTTGAAATGTGCTGAGTGGCATTGAAAAACTGAACTGCTAATTTTATTTCATTTAAATCGATTTTAAAAAAGGCTGAAGCTGTGTAAAACACTTATCCATTAAACACAACTTTATTGATTTGGTAAGACCACATTCCATTTCCACCATTGAAAATATAGTATCTGATTTGAGATGTCCTGTAAGGTTAAAATACGTATAGTGTTTCGAAGACTTAACATGAAAAAGAAGAATATAAAATAACCCACTAATAATTATTTGACACTGATTACACATTGAACTGATAATTTATTTATTGTGCTATAAATATACACACCCAAACATTTGCCAATTCAATCAACTTCTACATGTATATTTTAATGGCATTTATTACTTTCTTCATGTTGTACTGCCATTATCACTGTCATTTTCTGAATCACTCCACCACCATTAACTGAAACTCAACTCTCCCTAATAAAAAATTCCCTGTATACCCCTCCTTCCTATCCCTGATAACCACTAATAATCTTTGATTTCTATTGTTATCATTAGGTGCCATCGAGTTGGTTCTGACTCATATGTACAACACAATGAAACACTGCATACGAGGCGATTGAAAATATCATGGACTGGGTCAGGTGCACCTTATACCTCAAAGTGACATCTTTGCTTTTTAACAGTTTATAGAGGTCTTTTGCAGCAGATTTGCCCAGTGCAATGTGTCTTTTGATTTCTTGACTGCTGCTTCCATAGGTGTAGATTGTGGATCTAAGTAAAATGAAATCCTTGACAACTTCAATTTTTTCTCCATTTATCATGACGTTGCTTATTGGTCCATTTGTGAGGATTTTTGTTTTCTTTAAGTTGCGATGCAGTCCATACCGAAGGCTGTAGTCTTAGATCTTCTTCATAAGTGCTTCAAGTCCTCTTCACTTTAAGCAAGCAAGATTGTGTCAACTGTATATCGCAGGTTGTTAATGCTTAGGGGGAATTGAATTTCAGTTAATGGTGGTGGAATGATTCAGAAAAGGATAATGATGACTGCTTCTGGTCTAAGTACAGCTTCCTCATGTGCACAATTAAGTGTTCCTGGCATTCCCATTCTTTGCAATGTTATCCATAATTTGTTATGACTCACACAGCCGAATGCCTTTGCATAGTCAATAAACACAGGTAAACATCTTCCTGGTATTCTCTGCTTTCAGCCAGGATCCAATTGACATTAGCAATGATATCCCTCATTCTACATCCTCTTCTGAATCCGGCTTGAATTTCTGGCAGTTCTCTGTTGATATACTGTTGCAACTACTTTTGAATGATCTTCAGCATAACTTTACTTGTATGTGATACTAATGATATTTTTCAATAATTTCAGTATTCTGTTGGATCACCTTTCTTTGGAATGGGTACAAACATGAATTTTTTCCAGTCAGTTGGCCAGGTAGCTGTCTTCCAAATTTTTTTGCATAGATGAGTGAGCACTTCCCGCACTATATTCCCTTGGCGATACATCTCAGTTGATATTTCCTCAATTCCTGGAGCCTTGTTTTTCACCAATGCCTTCGGTACAGCTTGGACTTCTTTCTTCTGTACTACAGTTCTTGATCATATGCTACCTCCTGAAATGTGGAACGTCAACCGGTTCTTTTTAGTACAGTGTTCTTGTGTATTCCTTGCTTTTTCTTCTGGCGCTTCCTGCATTGTTTAATATTTTGCCCATAAAATCCTTCAAAATTTCAACCCAAGTCTTGAATTTTTTCTTCTGTTCTTTTAGCTTAAGAAGTGCTGAGCATGTTCTTCCCTTTTGGTTTTCTAACTCCAGCTGTTTGCACATGTCATTATAATACTTTATTTTGTCTTCTGGTGATACTCTTTGAAGTCTTCTGTTCAGCTCTTTTACTTCATTTCTTCGATTCTCTTCAGCTACTCGACCTTCAAAGGCAAATTTCAGAGTCTCTTCAACATCCATTTTGGCCTTTTCTTTCTTTCCTGTGTTTTTAATGACCTCTTGCTTCCTTCATGTCTGATGTCCTTGATGTCACTCCACAACTCGTCTGGTCTTCAGTTATTAGTGTTCAGTGCATGAAATCTGTTCTTGAGATGGTCTTTAAATTCAGGTGGGGTATACTCAAGGTCATTCTCAAGTATGACAAACTGACAGATGCATGTGGTTGATTTCTATACATTTGCCCATTTCATATAAATGAGATCATAGAGTATTTGTCCTTTTGTGACTGACTTATTTCACTCAACGTGTTTTCAAGTTTCATCCACATTGTGGCATGTGTCAGGACTTCATTTCTCTTTATGGTTGAATAATATTCCATTGTATGGATGGATACATTTTGTTTATCCATTCATCTGTTGGTGGACATTTCAGTTGTTTCTGTCTTTAGGCTATTGTGAAGAGTGTTGCAGTGAAAATTGATGTGCAGATTTTGAACTGATAATATTTTGAACATATTAGGTTAAATAAAATGTACTAGAACATTAATTTCACCTGTTGCTTTTTACATTATTTGTTAATGTGGCTGCTTGAACATTTAATTTACCTATGTGGCACACATGATATTTCTATTGGACAGCTCTAGTCTAGTCTTTTCAGTTTTTCAACAGCCTTGAGTGGTTGTTGTTATTAGGTGCCATCGAGTCAGTTCTACTCATAGCGACCCCCATGAGACAGACTAGAACTGCCCCATAGGGTTTTCTAGACTGTAATCTTTATGGGAGCAGATCTCCAGGACTTTCTCCCATGGAGCCTCCAACCTTTACAGTTAACAGTCAAGAACTTAACTGTTGTGCCACCACTATTTCCTTCATTTTGAAAGTGGGAACACCAAGTCTCAAAGAGGTTAACTTGCTCAAGGGACCCTTGAGCTGGGAACCCCATTGGACTCTCCGTCAGAGCTATAAGTGCTGAGTTGAGAAATGTAACAGATTCCTCCTATCATGTTTCACAGGCAGATTTCGCACTGAGTGTAATCACCTATGTGGGGCTGAGCCTCTCTCTGCTGTGCCTCCTCCTGGCAGCCTGCACCTTCCTTCTGTGCCGGTCCATCCAGAACACCAGCACCTCGCTCCACCTGCAGCTCTCGCTCTGTCTCTTCCTGGCCCACCTGCTATTTCTAGTGGGGATGGATAAAACTGAGCCCAAGGTAGGATTTTTCAACCAAATTACCTCCTTGTCATAATCAAATCTCAACATCTTGATTTGAGAAAAGATGGGGAGGAGAGGCAAGGATCAGGAGTGAGGGTATAGGGAGAAAAGCAGGGGTGCCCATTTCAGCTCTGCTCCTGCTTAACTTTGGACAAGACCTGCACTTTCTGAGAGTCCATTTTGAAAAGTGACTGAGAGTCAGACTGATGGTATTAGATAGGGTAACATTAGCTGCTATAACAAATAAACTCCAAAATGTTGTTGGCTTAGCACAATAAAACCAAGCCAGTTGCTGTCAAGTTGATCTGGACATATGGCAACCCCGTGTGTTTCAGAGTACAGACAGGCTCTATAAGGTTTTCAATGGCTGTGATCTTACAGAAGTAGGTCACTAGGCCTTTCCTCTGAGGCACCTCTAGGTGGATTTGTACCATTAACCTTTTGGTTAGTAGCCAAGTGCTCAATCATTACACCACTCAGGGACTCCCCTTAGAGCAATAGTAGTTAATTTTTTTTTTACTTACATATCAGTTATTCTCCACACTCAGGTTAATGGAGGTTTTACCAAGGTCACCCCAGGGCCCTTTCCATTTGAGCAAAGTGCATGGGGAAAAGAGCATGGTGGAGCACCACGAGGGTGGTTAATATGGGCTTATCTCTCACATTCTATTGGCTAGAACTCAGTCACATGGTCTTACCTAACTGCAATGGAGGCTGGAAAATGTAGTCCCTGGCTGGGCAGCTACTCCCTAGTGACAGCCCTATACTCTGGAAGGGGAGTTGTTTTTGTTGTTGTTGTTATCTGCCATCCAGTTGGTCCCCAACTCATGGTAACCTCATGCACAACAGAACAAACACTGTCCAGTCCTAAGCCATCCCCATGATCGGTTCCAGATCAGACCATTGTGATCTATAGGGTTTTCATTGGCTGATTTTTGAAGGTCGATAGCCAGACCTTTCTTCCCAGTCCCTCTCAGTCTGGAAGCTCCGCTGAAACTAGTTCAGCATTGCAGTAACATGCAAGCCTCTACTGATAGATGGTGATGGCTGTGCATGAGATGCATTGGCCAAAAATCAAACCCAGGTATCCCACATGGAAGGTGAAATTTCTACCACTGAACCACCAATGTCTTCTCTGGAATGAGAGTAGGCTTGAATTTTTTTTATGGAGAATGACTCTGCCACATTGATCTGAACATGAATCTCAACTCTTCATCTTAAAACATAATGGTTGCCATGGAGTTGATTTTGACTCATGGCAACCCTATGTGTGTCAGAGTCAAACTGTTCATCTTATTTGCTATATAACCTTGTTGAAGTTACTTCCCCTTTCAAATTTCCTGTGTAAAATAGGGAACTAGTCATTAGGGTTTAGTAAGGACTTAGCAAGATAAAACATATAAAGAGTGCAGATTAATCACTCAGCAAAAAGTGTTTGCTTTTATCTTCATCATGATCGTGATCACCAATATTTCCAGGAAAATTAGAACCAGATGCTCTCCATATCTCATTTTAACCCTAAATAGATAATGAGCCCACAGTCAGAAGTTTATGAAAGCATTATTTTCCCACCTGAGAGGCAGCATAAAAATCCAGTTGCTGTTGAGTTGACTGTGACTCATGGCGACCCCAACTCATGGCAACCCCATGTGTGTCTGAGTAGAATTGTGTGTGTGGTAAACACCATATGGCTTTCAAAGCCTAGCGGAGGTAAACTGGAGTGAGATGAAGCTAGCAGGAGAAAGAAAAGTGATGATAAGTGTTAATGAAAATATGAACCAAGAAGAGGAAGTGGGTCTGATTTAAGAAACGTTTATGAAGTGGAATTGGCTGGACTTGGGGCTCAAGTGGATGTGGAAGTTGTGGGTTTAGGAGAAAGCAGACATAAGGAGAACTTTGAGGTTTCTAGCTTGGGATGGTGTGTCATTAACCAAGATAGAGAAGGAGAAATGGGTTTGGGACAGAAGAGATGGTGAATTCCAGTTTAAATCTGCTAAACTGGAGGTGCTTATCAGACACATGAGTGGAGACAGCCAACAGACCATTGGAAATAAGAGTCTGTAGCCCAGGAGAGATCAGGGTGTGTTATGGATTGAATTGTGTTCCCCAAAAATATGTGGTAGAATCATAACCCCTACAACTGTGGATGCAATCTCATTTGGGAATAGAGTTTTCTTTGTTATATTAATGAGGCCATATCAGTGTAGTTGTTGTTAGTAGCCCTCAAGTTTTCCGACTCATGGGGACCCCATGTGTGCAGAATAGAACTGTGCTCCATGGGGTTTTCCATTTCTGAGTGATATAAAGAGCAACATAGACACAGAAATAAGTAAACACAAACAGGGGAAGGTAGATGCCATGTGAAGTTCGTCAAGGAACCAAGGAATACTGGGGCTAGAGAAGCTAAGGATCTTCTCTCAGAGACAACAGAACCTTCCCCTATAGCTAGCACCCTGAATTTGGACTTCTAGGCTCCTAAACTTTGAGAAAATAAATTTCTATTCCTTAAAGCCATCCACGTGTATTTCTGTTCCAGCAGCACTAGGAAAAGAAGACATAGAAACCCTCTAGGACAGAGTAGGACTGCACCATAGGGTTTCCAAGACTGTGATCTCTACAGAAGCATAGTGAAGCATCTTTTTCCTGTGGAGGAGCTGGTGGGTTGAATGGCCAACCTTTCAGTTAACAGTTGAGTGCTTATTATCTGATCCACACTCTCAACTCTCCCCTCCTCCAGGCGCTGTGCTCCGTCATCGCTGGGGCACTGCACTACCTCTACCTGGCCTCCTTCACATGGATGTTCCTGGAAGGTCTGCATCTCTTCTTCACCATCAGGAACCTCAAGGTGGCCAACTACACCAGTGCAGGCAGATTCAAGAAGAGGTTCATGTACCCTTTTGGCTATGGGATCCCAGCTGTGATTGTGGCTGTGTCAGCAGGTGTTGGACACAAAAATTATGGAACAAATACTCAGTAAGCATGATGTGTACGTTAATGGTGGGAGTGTGTCCATAGCAAGAAACCAAAACCAAATCCATTGCCATCAAGTTGTTCTGACTCACAGTGACCCAGTGTGCTACAGAGTAGAACTGCTCCATAGGGTTTTCTTGATGTAATCTTTATGGAAGCAGATCACCAGGCCTTTCTTCTGCAGTGCTGCTGGGTGGGTTTTAAGCCACTTACCTTTTGTTTAGCAAATGAGCACCTGGCTGTTATATGATCTGGAATCAAAATGTTTTTTTAAATCCATTTTCCAACTGTTAGTTATATTTCAAACCAGTCTTCCTTAAGCCTGAATTCAATGTTCTCTTAGAAATCCCAAGAGCAATGGTTTTCAGCATCTTTGGAGTTGGATTCAAATTACCTTTGATAATTTGGTGAAAGCAAGAGCCTCTTCCCTCAGATAGACATGAACAAACAAACAAATAAAAAACCCAAACCCATTGCCATTGAGAAGATTCTGATTCATGACGATCCCATATGTTATAGACTGGAACTGCTTCATAGGGTTTTCTTGGCTGTAATCTTTATGGAAAGGAGCCCTGGTAGCACAACACTTAAGCACTTGGATACTAACTGAAAGGTTGATGGTTCAAACCCATCAAATTGCTATGCGGGAGATAGACCTGTGATCTACTCCAGTAAAGATTGTCGTTCTTGTTAAGTGCCATCGAGTTAGTTCTGACCCATAGTGACCTTATGTACAACAGAATGAAACACTGCCCAGGCCTGCACCATCCTCCCAATCGTTATGATTGGGCCCATTGTTGCAGCCACTGGGTCAATCCACACCCTTGAGGGTCTTCCTCTTTTTTGCTGACCCTCTACTTTACTAAACGTGATGTCCTTCTCCAGGGACTGATACCCCCTGATAACATGTCCAAAGGATGTCAGACAGTCTCACCATCCTTGCTTCTTCCAAGACAGGTTTGTTTGTTCTTTTGGCAGTCCATGGTATATTCAATATTTTTCGCTAACACCACAACTCAAAGGCATCAATTCTTCCTCAGTCTTCCTTATTCATCTTCCAGCTTTCACATGCATACGAGGCTATTGAAAACACTATGGATTGGGTCAGGTGAACCTTAGTCTTAAAGGTGACATCTTTGCTTTTCAACACTTTAAAGAGGTCTTTTGCAGGTCTTTTGCAGCTGATTTGCCCAATGCAATGTGTCATTTGATTTCTTGACTGCTGCTTCTGTTGGGTGTTCATTGTAGATCCAAGTAAAATGAAATCCTTGACAACTTCAGTCTTTTCTCTGTTTATCATGATGTTGCTTATTGGTCCACTTGTGAGGATTTTTGTTTTCTTTATGTTGAGGTATAATCCATACTGAAGGCTGTGGTCCTTGATCTTCATCAGTAAGTGTGACAAGTCCTCTTCATTTTCAGCAAGTAAGGTAGTGTCATCTGCATAATGCAGGTTGTTAATGATTCTACCTCCATTCCTGATGCCATATTCTTCTTCATATAGTCCACTTTCTTTGATTATTTTCTCAGCATACAGATTGAATATGCATGGTGAAAGGCTACAACCCTGACACACACCTTTCCTGACTTTAAACCATGTAGTATCCCCTTATTCTGTTCGAATGACTGCCTTTTGGTCTATGTACAGGTTCCTCGTGAGCACAATTAAGTGTTCTGGAATTCCCATTCTTCACAATGTTACCTATATGGGCGAATGCCTTTGCATAGTCAATAAAACACAGGTAAACATCTCTGCTTTCAGCCAAGATCCATCTGACATCAGCAGTGATGTTCCTCATTCAATGTCCTCCTCTGAATCCTGCTTGCATTTCTGGTATGTCCCTGTCAATGTGCTGCTGCAACCACTTTTGAATGACCTTTAGCCAAATTTTACTTGTGTATGATATTAATGATGTTGTTCAATAATTTCCACATTTGGTTGGATCACCTTTCTTTGGAATAGGCATAAATATGGATCTCTTCCTGTTGGTTGGCCAGGTAGCTGTCTTCCAAACTTCTTGGAAGAGACGAGTGAGTACTTCCAGTGCTGCACCGTCTGTAGAAAGATCTCAATTGCTATTCCATCAATTCCTGGAGCCTTGCTATAAATATTACAGCCCAGAAAACCATATACAGCAGTTCTACTCCTTCACGTGGGGTCACTATGAGTCAGAATCTACTCCACGACACCCAACAACAACAATCTTTACAGAAGCAAATCACCAGGCCTTTCTTCCATGACACAGCTAGGTGGGTTCAAGCAGCCAATCTTAGGATTAGTAGCCAAATATATCTATGTACGTAATTTTGAATAAAGTCCAGGAAATTCGGGGACAGGCAAAGCAAACCTATGTCCCCACATTAAGAACCTGTGAGTTACACGTTCTTTATGATTCTGAAAGAGTTGGTTGAATGGGTTGAGGGTGACCTCATAAATGTAAACAATAACAGTAATAGTAACAACTATGGAAAACCTCCAATGCACCAGAGACAGTGCTTCACGTATGTAGTATCTCATGTCATGTTCCCATGATCTCATGAAGTTCACACAGGACTCAGTCCAGTTAATCAACTTCCCCAAGGTCGCAGCTGAAAAGAGAGGAAGTTGGCATTCTCAAGGTAGTGCTCTTAATAGCATGTCTTACTGCCTCTGTAAAGAAGTTCCACCACCACCTGACTGCCAGTTTGTGGTACTGTGGTGGCTTGTGTGTTGCTGTGATGCTGGAAGCTAGGCCACTGGTATTTCAAATACCAACAGGGTCACCCATGGTGGACAGGTTTAGCAGAGCTTCCAGACTAAGACAGGCAAGGAAGAAAGGCCTGGCAATCTACTTCTGACAATTAGCCAGTGAAAACCTATGATTTACAACAGAACATTGATCAGTATAGTGCTGAAAGATGAGCCTCTTATGTTGGAAAGCACTCAAAATACACAATAGCCACAACAATGGACTCAAACATACCGACAATCATGAAGACAGTACAGGACTGGTCAACATTTCATTCTACTGTACGTGGAGTTGTCATGAATCAGAGCCAACTTGATGACAATCAATAACAACAAAGAAGTTTGAAAAGATTTGTATACAACAGTTAGTTAAAGAGGTTACTATCTTGGCAACAGGGTTTGGGTTAGGAAGTAGGTGTGCATGTGCTAAAACAACATGTATGGTGCTGTCCTTTAAGCAAAAGAGTTGCCCTGTCTTGAGATTGAACCCTGTGTACCAGAACGATTCGGCAGATATAACAGTAGAGTAGATCAGAAATTGGCAAACTTTTTCTGAAAAGGGCCAGACGGTAGGTGTTTTCAGCTTGGTGGGCCATGTAGTCTCTGTTGCAAGTACTCAACTCTGCCAGCGTAGTCTGAAAGCAGCCACAGACAATATGTGAATGTATGGGTGTGGTTGTGTGCCAATAAAACCTTACAAAAATCAGCAATGGACTGTATTTGGCCCACTGGCCATAGTTTGCAAACCCTGGAATAGAACACAAATGTGGGAGCTTTTCTGCCAACTCAGTGTTGCGAGTTACTTAATTCTTACTTTTACCAGATTCATACTGTCAGGTCTCCTTTCAGAATAAGTTATACTATCTTTGCCAACAAAAGCCATGCCAGAATATAAAGTATTTGGGTAACACAGTACTTGGCACATGCTATATGCTTAATTGTACAAATATTAATGATATTGTTCAGTAATTTTCACTTTCCATTGGATCACCATTCTTTGGAATGGGTACAAATATGAATCACTTCCAGTCAGATAGTCAGGTAGCTGTCTTCCAAATTTCTTTGCATAGGAAGGTGAGGGCCTCCAGGTCTGCATCCATTTGCTGAAATATCTCAGTTGGTATTCCATCAATTCCTGGAGCCTTGTTTTTCACCAATACCTTCTGTGCAGCTTGGACTTCTTCCTTCAATACCATAGGTTCTTGATCACATGCTACCTCTTGAAATCCTTAAATAGTTGAATGTAAACCAATTCTTTTTGGTACAGTGATTCTGCGTATTCCTTCGATTTTCTTTTGATGTTTCCTGCATCATTTAATATTTTCCTCATAGAATCCTTCAATATTGCAACTCAAGGCTTGAATTTTTTCTTCAGTTCTTTCAGCTTGGAAATGTTAAGCGTATTCTCCCCTTTTGGTTTTCTATCTCCAGGTCTTTGCACATTTCATTATATTTTACTTTGTCTTCTAGACCTGCACTTTGAAATCTTCCATCCAGCTCTTTTACTTCATCATTTCTTCCTTCCACTTTAGCTACTCCACTTTCAAGAGCAAGTTTCAGAGTCTCTTCTGACATCCATTCTGGTCTTTCTTTCGTATTTTTTAATGACCTCTTGCTTTCTTTGTGTATGATGTCCTTGATGTCATTCCACAACTAGATTGATCTTTGGTCATTAGTGTTCAATGCATCAAATCTGTTCTTGAGATGGTCTCTAAATTCTGGTGGGATATCCTCAAGGACATACTTTGACTTTCATGTATTTGTTCTAATTTTCCTCAGCTTCAACTTGAACTCGCATATGAGCAATTGGTAGTCTGTTCCACAGTCAATCCCTGGCCTTATTGTGACTGATGATCTTGAGTTTTTCCATTGTCTCTTTCCACAGACGTAGTCAGTTTGATTCCTGTGTATTCCATCTGGTGAGTCCACGTGTACAGTCATTTATGCTGTTGAAAAAAGATGTTTGCAAAGAAAAAATAATTGGTCTTGCAAAATTCTATCATGTGATCTCCGGTGTTGTTCGGATCACCAAGGCAAGATTTCCCAACCAGCAATCCTTCTTTATTTTCAACTTTTCTGTTCTAATCACCAGTAATTACCAAGGCGTCTTGGTTGCAAGTTTGATCAATTTCACACTGCTGAAGTTGGTAAAAATCTTCAATTCTTCATCTTTGGCCTTAGTGATTGGTTGGTAAATTTGAATAATAGTCATATTAACTGGTCTTTCTTGTAGGCATATAGATATTAACCTATCACTGAAAGTGTTGAGCTTCAGGATGGAGATTGAAATGTTATTTTTGATGATGAAGGTGACACCATTCCTCTTCAATTTGTCATTCCTGGCATAGTAGACAATATGATTGTCTGATTTAAAATGACCAAAACCAGTCCACTTCAGCTCAATAATGCCTTGAATACCAGAAAGATGTTTATCTATGTTTTATTGACTATGCAAAGACACTCGACTGTGTAGATCATAACAAATTAAGAATAACACTGTGAAAAATGGGAATTCAGAACGTTTAATTGTGCTCCTATGGAACCTGTACATATACCAAAAGGCAGTCATTCAAACAGAACAAGGGATACTATGTTTAAAGTCAAGAAAGATGTGCGTCAGCATTGCATCCTTTCACCATACTTATTCAATCTGTATGCTGAGCAAATAATATGAGAATCTGGACTATAAGAAAAAGAATGGGACATCAGGATTGGAGGAAGACTCATTAACAACCTGCAATATGCAGATGGAATGACCTTGCTTGCTGAAAGTGAAGAAGACTTGAAGCACTTACTGATGAAGATCAAAGACCACAGCTGTCAATATCGATTACACAGTAACATAAAGAAAACAAAAATCCTCACAACTGGACTAATAAGCCACATCATGATAAATGGAGAAAGGATTGAAGTTGTCAAGGGTTTCATTTTACTTGGATCCACAATCAAAACCCATGGAAGCAGCGGTCAAGAAATCAAAAGACACATTGCATTGGGCAAATCTGCTGCAAAAAACCTCCTTAAAGTGATAAAAAGCAAAGATGTCACTTTCATGACTAAGGTGCACCTGATCCAAGCCATGGTGTTTTCAATAGCCTCATATGCATGCAAAAGCTGGATGATGATAAAGAAGATGGAAGAATTGATACTTTTGAACTATGGTGTTGGTAAAGAATATTAATATACCATAGACTGCCAAAAGAACTAATAAATCTGTCTTGGAAGAAGTACAGTCAAAATGCTCCTTAGAAGCAATGATGTTGAGACTTCATCTCACATACTTTGGACTTCTTATTATCAGGGATCGGTCCCTGGAGAATGACATCATGCTTGGTAAGGTAAAGGGTCATCGAAAAAGAGGAAGACCCTCAACGAGATGGACTGACACAGTGGCTGCAACAATGAGCTCAGGCATGACAACAATTGTGAGGATGGCATAGGACGCGGCAGTGTTTTGTTCTGTTATAGATAGAGTCACTATGAGTCAGAACCAACTTGATGACACCTAACAACAACATATGCTTAATGAGTGTTGGTTTTTTATGTGGCTGTACTGAAATTATTATTATTGCTGTTTTTCTCATTATAACAATCACCTATGTAATAACATTTATTTTAATGTATATAGTATATATAATATACAAATATAAAAATGCAAATACAAACATATATAAGTATATGTATATATAAAACAAAACATTTGCTATTTCAACCTTTTTTACATGTACAATTCAGTGACATTAACTATGTTCATCACCACTAACCATTTCCCAAAATTTCCATCATCCATAACAGAAGCTCAGTGTCCCCTAAGCAACAACTCCATTTCTCCCCCACCCTCTTGCCCCTGATATTCACTAATAAACTTTGGCCTCTATACACTTGCAAATTTTAGATATTTCATGTAAGTGGGATTATACAATATTTGTCCCTTTGTGACTGACTTATTTCATTATGCATAATGTTTTCGAAGTTCATCCATGTCATAACGCGTATCAGAACGACATTTCTCTTTATGGTTGAATAATAATCCATTGCCTGGATAGACCACATTTTGTTCATTCATTCGTCTGTTGATGGGCACTTGGGTTGTTTTCACCTTTTGACCATTGTGAATCATGTTGCAATCAATAATGGTGTACAAGCATCTGTTTTAACTACGTGTATTGAGCCTTATCTCTTGCCAGACACTTTAGCCAAATACTTTATACACTTTGCATTATTTAATCTTTCCAACAATTCTGTTGGCCCTATATTACACTCAAGGAAACTGAGGCTTAAGCATACAGCCTGCAGGTGGCAGACTAGGACTCACATCTACCTCCATCTGAAAATCCAGATCGTGAACTAATGACCCCTGGCATTACTCACATTCTGCTAGGAGATCCTGAATCCAAGCTCTCTACCTTCTCCTAAAGGTTCAAGTTCACCCAGAAGTGCTTCAGATGAAAGGCCTGGTGATATACTTCTGAAAACTCTGTGGAGCACAGTTCTACTCTGACACATATGGGGGCACCAGGAGTCAGGGTTAACTCTATGGCAACTGGTGGTGGTGATAGGGCAGCTTGTAAGTATGAAGAAAATATCCCATCTTCAGCTGAGAGCTGAGAAACAGGAAGATGGTGTCTGAATATTGTTTAGTGTTGTTCTGGGTAGGGAATAAAGAGGCAGTAAAAATACTCGCTGATCTTGGCTTCTTGTGTTCTGAAACCACCGTACCTTTTTATTAAAAAAAAAAAAATCCATGAGGGTCGAGTACAGAAAGTAATGATACCTAATGGTCGTGAGCGCTTACTATGTATTAGGCTCAGTTTTAAGGTCTTTACGTCTATAAGATTTCATATGTATATGAGAAGATTGAAAAGACCATGGCTTGGGTCAGGTGCACCTTAGTCATCAAAGTGACACCTTTGCTTTTGAATTGCGGTGTTGGCAAAGAATATTATATATACCATGGACTGCCAGAAGAACAAATAAAATCTGTCTTTGAAAAAGTATAGCCGTAATGTTGCTTAGAAGCAAGGATGGCAAGACTTTGTCTGATATACTTTGGACATGTAATCAGGAAGAACCAGTCCCTGGAGAAGGACATCATGTTTGGTAAAGTAGAGGGTCAGAAAAAAGAGAAAGACCCTCGGTGAGATGGACTGACACAGTGGCTTCAACAATGGTTCAAACAAAGCAATGATTGTGAAGATGGTGTAGGACTGGGCAACATTTCGTTCTGTTGTACATGGGGTCACTGTGAGAGCTAACTTCATGACACCGAACAGAAACGTCTATTGGCTATTTAACTCTCACATCAACAAAGCACGTTAGTATAATCAGCAGCAACAGCTCAACTTATTCAGCTGCAGCACAAAAGTTTGGGTAAATTGCCTAACTAGTGGGTAGGAGGGAAGCTGGAATTTGAACTCAGACTGTTTAATGTCCGAGGCTATATCAAATCAAGTTGAAGACAACTGGTAACTGGTCTTCTCCCGGGGAATACTCAGCTGATGTTTTTCATTCTCTGTCTCAACAGCTGCTGGCTGAAGCTTGATACGGGCTTTATCTGGAGCTTCATGGGGCCAGCGGCTGTCATTATCTTGGTAGGTAACCAGGGGCAGATATTTATTGGTGTGCTAGCGCTGGGTTAAGGGGCCCTGGGGGCACAAACAGTTAAGTGCTCTGGCTGCTGACCAAAGGTTGGCAGTTTGAGCCCTCCCAGCAGCTCCACAGGAGAAAGACCTGGCAATCTGCTCCCATAAAGATCACAGTCTAGGAAACCCTATGGGGCAGTTCTACTCTGTCATGTGGGATGGCTATGAGTTGGAATTGACTCGATGGCATGCAACAACAACAACAGACCTGGGCTGATCAGGTGTAGAGAACGTTGTTTCTTATCTGTTAAAGTGGAAATGAGATGAAGATAAGGAAATTTACCCTAGAGTAGAATGGCTCCATAGGGCTTTCTTGGCTGTAATCTTTATGGGAAACAGATCGCCAGGCCTTTTCTTCCACAGTGTCACTGGGTGAGTTCGAATCTCCAACCATTGGGTTACCAGCTGAATGTAAACCATTTATGCTACCCAGGGCTTTAGATGTCAGGTAGCCAAGTTAACATGCACGTATATTGTAATAAGAAAGCAGCCATAGACAACATGTAAACGAATGGATGTGGCTGTGTTTCATTAAAATTTTATTTACAAAAACAAGCAATGGAATGGATACTGGATTTGGCCCATGGGACCTAGAGTGTTGACTGTTCTGTTCAGCCACCTTTGTAGGTTCCTCCTGTCAAGATTGGAGCACTCAGGGCTGACACATAAACCACTCTTCTCTATCTACACTCATTCCCTTGTGGTGTCCTCCATCTATGGCTTTCAATAATTGCCCATATCCTACAAACTCTCAAATTTATATGCCCAGCCTGAACCTCTCTTTTCAACTCCAGACATACAAATCCAACCTGGCTACCTGACATCTAAAGGGGGCAATGGTGGCTCAACGGTAGAATTCTCTGCTTCCATGTGGGAGACCCAGGTTCTGTTCTTGCCTAATGCACCTCATGCACAGCCATCACCTGACTGCCAGTGGAGGCTTGCTTGTTGCTATGATGCTAAACAGGCTTCAGCTGAGCTTCCATACGAAGATGGACTAGGAAGAAAGGCCTGACAATCTTCTGGAAATCAGCCAACAAAATCTGTATGGATCACTACAGTCTGATCTGCAACCAATCATGGGGATGGCATGGGACTGGGCAGCATTTCATACTGTCGTCCATGGAGTTGTCATGAGTTGAGGGCCAACTGGACAGCAGCCCACAACAACAACCTGACATCTAAACTTGAGTATTTTATAGGCATCAGTACAAACTGCAGATAAGTAGTGATCATGTCAATTTAGGTGGCAAGTAATGGCCTCTAAAGAAAATTCTAACTCCATTTTTTCATGCTGTTTCCACAGATAAACTTGGTGTTCTACTTCATAATTCTGTGGATTTTGAAAAGCAAACTTTCTTCCCTCAATAAAGAAGTTTCCACCATTCAGAACACCAGGTAAGAAAGCAACAGACTTAGTAGTACTCACCGAAATGTCCTTATGGCATGTTTCTGCAGGACCAGTCTGCCTGAAAAGGAAGATACCTGTAGAAAATATGGCATAGATTTTCCTAGTACTAGAGGAAGAGTATGTAAGCAGAACTTATAGAAGTAAAAACTGTGATTTTCAAGTGGCTTGCACTTCCTCATTTGTTTATGAAGAAAATATCCATTGTCTCCTTTGTGTGACATAGTCTTCATATGAAATTAGTGCCAAGATTGTCAACACTATCCATTTGTCCCCTGATAGTCAGCCTACTTCTGGACTCCATTCTTGTTGGTTGTAGTAACATTGTTCTCATTGGTGCTGACCCAAACTATTAAAAATAATGATTAAAAAAATGAGTTAGAATGCATTCGATGGCAGCAGGTTATACATAATATAAGGAGTCCCTGAGTGGTACAAACAGTTAAGTGCTCAGCTACTAATCAAAGGACTGGCAGTTCCAATCTACCCAGAGACACATCAGAAGACAGGCCAGCTTCTGAAAGGTCACAGCCTTGAAAACCCTATGGGGCAGTTTTACTCTGCTCACATGGGTTTGCAATATGTCAGTATTAACTTGACAGCAAATAACAACAACAATAACAGATATAATATATTGATATAAGTATTTATATTATAATTAATATATTTACATTATGTTTAAATCTTATAATATTATTTTATTTACATATAAATATTTATATCATATACTATATAATATAAAATAATATTGACTTTATACACTATAATAATAGAATAAAAAGAATACATAAATATATTCTAAATAATAAATATATTCTAAATAACTAACAAATATATTATAATAAATAAAATATATTACAAAAATAAGCAGCTACCATGTAGTCAATTCCAACTCATGGTGACTCCACGTCTGTCAGAGTGGAACTGTGCTCTGTAGGGTTTTCAATGGCCTTGACCTTTCAGAAGTAGATTGCCAGACATTTCTCCTGAGACACCTCTGAGTGGGTTCAAACAATCACTCTATTGGTAAGTCGCTGAGCACTTAACTGTTTGCACCCCCAAGAATTCCTTAAGTGTCTGATAAAGTTATTAATAGTCCTTTTTTTTTCTTTCCAGAGTCATGACATTTAAAGCCATTGCTCAGCTATTTATCCTGGGCTGTTCTTGGGGCCTTGGTTTTTTTATTGTTGAAGTAGTAGGGAAGACGGCTGAATTAGTCATTGCCTACATATTCACCATCATCAATGTCCTGCAGGGAGTTTTTATCTTCGTAGTACACTGTCTCCTTAATCGTCAGGTAAGGGTAATTATTTCTTCTCTTGCTATATAGCCCCAAATTCTTACTGAATGGCTAATCACATTCTTGCCCTTACATGACCATTTATTTTTGTATTTTTGGTTGCTTAGATTCTGAGAGGACGGTTTGGGTGCTACTTGGGTCTGCTATGTGCTCTGGGTCTCATCTTTGCAACATCTTAATATATCTCTTAAGGGCATTGTGACAATCAGAATAAGGTCGATGATGCTGCAGTAACAAATAGCCTTATTCTATTGATCAAAAGGGGGAATGCAGAGCAGAATTTCAAATTATCATGGAACCCAGGCTTTCTGGAGCTACTGAAGCTGGATGACCCCCTGAAACTATTGTCCTGAAACAATCTTTAAACCTTTAACTAAAACTATCCCCTGAAATCATCTTTAAACCAAACACTAGTTCAGCTTAATTCATAAAGAATGTTTGCCTTGAGCATTGTGTTCTCTTAAAAGGTTATCTATTGATAAGTGATCAAACTGGCAAAAGCAACTCAAAAGTTTAGATAAGAATAGAGGGCAGTGAGTTATGTTAATGATGGTGGAAAAATTTGGAAAAGGAAAGCAAGAATGGTTGTATAACTTAAAAAAGTAACCAATATCACTGAATTGTACATGTAGAAATCATTGAATTTGTGTATATTTTGATGTGTATATTTTCACCAAAAACAAAACAACAAAAAACAAATAGCCCTTCCCCAATCTCAATGGTTTACAACAGTAAAGGTTTATTTCTTGCTCGTGCCACATACCTGTGGTTTGATACTCATTGCATTCACTCTAGGATCTAGACTGAGGGGACAGCCCAGGTGTAGAACATGGGTGATCTCATGGCCAAGGAAAAAGAGATCAACGCAAAGCACAGCTTCACTCTTTTGAAGCTTCTGCTTAGAAGTGACACACATCACTTCTGCACTCATTTCAATGGTCAAAGCAAATCAGGCCATACTTGAATTCACCTTGGGGAGGATAAATAACCCTCCTGTAGTAAGGTGAAGTATTGGGAGGAACTGGACTATTTGCCACTATCTACCGTAACCTCCATTACATGTCTGTCAGTTTATTCTACTGTGGTGGCTTGCATGGTGCTGTGATACCAGAAGCTTTGCTACTAGTATTTGAAATACCAGCAGGGTCACTCTTGGTGGTTCAGTTTCAGGGGAGCTTCCAGACTAAGATAGACTAGGAAGAAGGACCTGGCAGTCTACTTCTGAAAAAACAGGCTGGTGAAAACCTTATGAATAACAGTGGAAGACTGTCTGATATAGTGCTGGAAGATGAACCCCTCAGGTTGGAATGCATTTAAAATAGAACTGGAGGGAGGAGTGGTCAACATGGCAGACAAGTTAGATGCTTTCTATATCCCTCTTACAACAAAGACCTAGAAAAACAAGTGATTTGATTCTATGTAAACATCTGGCAGCCCTGAACAAGACAAGGTTAAGAAATCCATCTGAGTCATACTGGAGAGGAAGACCGTTTGGAAGAGGTGAGGAGCGCTAGAGCTGTAGTGGTGAAACTGCAGAGACACAGCCACGCAGGGCCACGGTGAAGCAGGCAAACAGCTGTGCTGTGCGCGTGCTCGAGAAGCAGTTTCCACATCGAGAGAGACCCGGCAGCAGAGATTCTGCTTGGACACTCCGAACCACTGAAGAGCAGCTCGCAAGAGGCTGCGATAAGTACATGGGCGCACCCTTTAACAGAGATTTAAAAAAAAAAAAAAAAGCTCATTTGGGAAAAACCTCTCTCCCTTTTACCTCCTACCTCTGCGCTCTGCACCGGATTTGGGAAAAACCTCTCTTCTTTTTACCTCCTCCCTCCCCACTCTGCACAGGAGTCCACTGGGCCAGAAGTAGATCCCAAAAGGCATCCTGACCCATTCTCCTGGCCTTGGAGAGGGAACAAATAAGCTGCTGGCTCCCCTAGACCAGGAACACAGGGTTGGCACAGCTCTTTTGCTGGCCACAGAAATCAGGTGTCTGCAGACTCTGAGTGCCAGACTTGTGGGGACCCATCTCAACAGCATTAGCCCTCAATACCACAGTGCAACAGGGAAAAAATCTGAAGTTTAACTTCAACTGCTTCAGCTGTGAATGGGCAGATTTGCGATCCTCAAAACAGCCCTGCCCCTCAAGTAGGCACTTTATCGATCTGCAGCAGGGTCTTGAGGACTGGTGGTAGCTCCTAAAGTGCCTAGTCACCTGCTACAGGAGTTCAAGAAAAAGTGGTGCCCTGGAGTCTTTGCAGCCAACATAGTGCGGTGCTCTTAGCCAGGCTGCAAAACTCACCTACCTATTCACCCTAGAGAATAGGGAAAAGCTTTTCTTTCAGACTCTCAGGGACAGCCGTCAGCCCCCTGCCTGGCTCAGCACGTGATCCCCTACCACAGCCAGAGTCCAGTGCCTGCACCAATCACCCATGCCTCTCTAGGACTGGGGGTGAGAGCCTGCATCGCACACTTGGTGACCGCCTGCCTGCACACCCAAGCTGATCCCATATAGGAAGTTTTAAAAGACTCTGGCGTGCACATACTTAGATACAGAACTAACTACCTGGTGACAGGACATTAGAGATCAAAAGGTGTCAAAAATAAAACTAGTGCACACAAGCAGCCTATCTGGGCATATCAAAACAAACAAAATAAGAAGCTAGGTCTCACTAAGCAAACATAAAATACAATTATAATAAATTATTGATGGCTCGGAGACAACAGTCAATATCAAGTTACATAAAGAGGCAGTCCATGATGGCTTCAGCAAGCTCCCAAAATAAAGAATCAATAAATTCTCTGGAGGAGGAGAGCTTCTTGGAATTACCAGAGACAGACTACAAAAGATTAATATACAGAACACTTCTAGAAATAAGAACGGAAATTCGACAGAATGCAGAAACAGCCAGGCAACATACAGACACAGTAGTAGCGGAACTTAAAAAAGTTATTCAAAAACATAATGCCAAATTTAATCGACTGTGAGAATCCATGGAGAGACAGCAATCAGAAATACAGAAGATTAACAACAAAATTTCAGAATTAGACAACTCAGTAGAAAGTCATAAGAGCAGAACTGAGGCAGTAGAAGGCAGAATTAGTGACCTTGGAGATAAAGCTCTTGATGCCAACTTATTTGAGGAAAAATCAGATAAAAGAATTAAAAAGATTGAAGAAACTCTAAGAATCATGTGGGACTCTATCAAGAGAAACTACCTATGAGTGATTGGAGTACCAGAACGGAGTGGGAGGACAGATAACAGAAAATACAGAGAAAATTGTTGAAGATTTGTTGACAGAAAACTTCCCTGATATCATGAAAGGTATCTATCCAAGATGCTCATCTAACCCCACATAAGCAGATCCCAAAAGAAAGTCACCGAGACATATGATAATCAAACTTACCAAAACCAAAGATAAAGAGAGAATTTTAAGAGCGGCTAGGGATAAAAGAAAAGTCATCTACAAAGGAGAGTCAATTAGAATAAGCTCAGACTACTCAGCAGAAACCACGCAGGGTAGAAGGTAATGGGATAACA